TTAAATGCTTTCATCCAAGTTTTCCCTCTGAGCCGCCTTTTTCGTGTGGAATATGTACCACTTTTCCTTCTTGAAGTTATAGATTTTCCAAGCGTTGTTAAGGGGTGATCTGTTTAGCGTTTCTAAAAACAAAAAAGGGATCAGCTTGTCTTCTTATTCCTTCCGTTAGTGAGGCAATTACGCCTGAAAATTGCTAACTACAACACTGTGCCTCGCTCAGTTCGTTTCCTTTCCAAGTGATCCTCTCCTTTCGTACCCGATTAAAGCGAGAACGAGAATCACAGGGCCGGAAGAAGGAAAAACCCTGGCAGCCGAGCGAGCTTGTCGTAACTACGATCTAGGTTGCGCACGTAATACCACACTTCCAAGATCGCGTCTGCAGCCACAAAAAGGTACTGTAGTAACTCTAACTGATTTTTTTTTCGAGTCCTCCGAAAAAAGGTTCATACATGGTCTTGCATTAAGTTGCTGCCGGAGTAAGTATTTTTCGTCCCATGGTCAAGCCATAGAATTTGTTTGAGACGAAAACAAGAAATAAATTAAAGTAGTTGTAACTTCTCCATCTCTCAGCCAAATCTCAGTGAAGTCGTCCATGTCAATTCTCCTTTTGTACGTTAGGCCATTTTTCTTTAATATTTCCTGAAAGACAAGAGAGAGAAATCTTTAGCATGGATTTTAATTCTACCCTCCCTGTGCTGTTTTTGTTCATGTGCGCGCGAGCCGGTTTGATGTAGGGGATAAGGGAATACTGATCTTCATGAGTTAGAATAAGCAGTAATGGCGCCGTAGCGCGTAAGGGACCATTTGTGCTTTAGGATTTAAAGGAAGACTAGATAGAAATTCAAGATATTACGGCGGACATAGCAGCGGTTCATTTACCACAGAATTATAGCTCGACAAAATCCTCCAAGAGCCACCGTAGCTCGCTAGCTACAAGCCAGAACACACCGAGAAAATTTCTTAACCCGTACTAAGTACTAAGTAAGTAGTTACTTTGATCGCACCGAAGACAAGTGTCTCTCTTGGCCAGTTTAATTCCTCCAATATTTCTAAATGTTCAATCTAGAAAAGTTGAGATTAACCGAAGATAATTTTACATAAATAGGTTGGAATACGCGTTGTTATGATGTACACAGATCACAGTAACTCATGCATTCAGAACTGAATAAATGTTTGAAATAAGCCTTAGTTTGGTTTCATTATTTCTCAATACCCTAATTAAGGGAAAAAATCTGTAGGCCCCCACCCAAATTAAAAAAACCATAATGGCCTGATATGGGGCTGAATCGACTACAGTTTGGAGGGGTAGTTTTTAAGAGGGCCAAAATTTGAGGGGGCTGTTTTGGCTACTGGAAAATCCAAAATGGCCCTAGTGTTTTCCATATTGACCCTTTACATGGTCTAATTTTGCCCCGATGCAAGGGTCATTTTAGCCCAAATTTTGGTACAAAAGCAGCCCCATCTCAGTGGGGCTGAATTGGCCCCAAAAACAGTACCATTCTGGACTCACCCGTTCCGGCCCCATTTTTGGGGCCAAATTGGCTCTTTTCATTTTACAGTGCGTACATTTCCCTAAGCTATTTCTTTTTTTCTTTTTTACCTTTTTGCAGTACACAAGTTGATGATCAAATAGGAACATGACACGATCCTGAGAGCCTCCTTTTGAAGTCTTGATAACATTTCCAGAGTGGATCAGCTCTGAGCTTCTCTGTAGGGCATCCTCGCCCTTTATTAAGAAAAACCAAAATATATAACATATATTATATAATTACGTTATTTACCCTCGCAGTATTTGTAGCACTAATGCTAGTGGGGCCCAGCAAATATCTGAAACAAATAATTCAAATTGAATTTAACTGAATCCCAACCGGCCGGAGGCAAATCAGCTTGCTATTTACAAGCATCGCCCAGGATTTGAACTCGGGATTACAGTGAACAAATCCAGGTAGCGGTCAGAGTGGGACTTCGAAATTGCAAGTCCAGCGCTCTAACCACTCGGCCACGCTTCCTAACTTTCAAAACAGCCAGTAAAGAGAGAGCCTCACTTACAGTACTATCATTAAAGAAAGCGGTTTTACAATTATTGGCCTTTTTGCGGTTGCGTGTGGAGGTGGCCTTATTCTCTCCACAATGACCACTTCAGTACCTCTATCCCTACAGGTGTCGTTGTGGGAAGGCCCAGTTGTATTTTACCATCAACAGTTGTCAGTTAGTTGAAAGCAGCTGACCTTTACCGAAACGGCTTATAATCACCCTCTTCCCCACATACCCTCACTGATCACCTCCATGTACCTGCGTTCACCCCAGTCACCCCTCTTCCCTTAGCACTAATGCTTACTCACCTCCCACCCCTCAATAGTACTTTGCCAGGTATCAACAAGGAACCTCGTCCCCAGGGCTTTTCCCTGAAAAACTTTTTTGAGGGAAAAGCTCTGGGGACGAGGTTGATCAACAAGAATTTTGCAGGAAATTTGCACTCAACAGATGTGGAATAGTTTTCAATGAAAAACATTAGAGATATTCAGAACAACTGAAAATAAATAAATAAATACTAAAACCCTTACTATAATGATCTTTTCCACGATCGATTTCATGATCGAAATAAAGGAGAAACACAAAAGTCAGCAGAGGACTAAGGTTGCCGAAAATTTACTCAATCACGCACACGCCGAAATTCTTCCACCCGATGCTTTAATCTCCAAATTTCTGCACTTTAAGTGGTCATTTTTCTTGAGCTACAGTAGAACTTATGTTTCATTCCAAACATTTAGCAATTGAACGAAATATCTTATTTGAATTTCTTGTGAAGTACATGTATATTCAGCGCTTTGGAAGTTTACTTAGGGGAGGCGCCTTGTGCATGAAAACTTTCTGATTCCAGTACCAGCTCTATCGTAAACAAGACTGTAATCTGCTAAAAGTTGTAACTATTAAAGGACAGCCAAAACGTAATTTGTTACGAATATGGTTGTGCGTACGTACTTGCCAAAATGGCAACGCTACGCCCAAGTTATCCACTGAGGTTTAGTCACCATGACAACTCATATTCTTTGTTTCGGGAAGAGACGGCTGTTTTCCCAGGAAAAAATCTTGCTTAATCCAGGATTACAACTAACCGAGCCTTGAAAGACTCGCCCAGGCATGGGGAATCAGAGAGACATTTTTGTTCTTGGCTAGTTTGAGATGCACAGGATTATTTGTTTTAAGTTGATAGGTGAGGGGACCTTTTAATTGCCACTTTATGTGAAATAGTCTCCCAAAACTTTGGTGTCCTTTTCATCTGGTGAAGAGTCCAAAGTCCTGGGTCCCGTCCATTTCTTTCAGTGGGGCGTCAGTGGGGCACTGAGAGACATGATCCGAGACGGTATGCGGTAATCTATACCGTTTATACGCCCGTCATTGACTGAACCAACCCGGAATCCGGAAATGATTTTCTGTAGTTGTTGGGATTCTGTGATGCAGCTTTCGTTTTTCTTTTTCGGTTCTTTTTCCCTGTCTGACCAAAATCGCACATTTTCCCAGGATTTTTTTTAAGGATGCAGTGTTAAAAAATGTAAACGATACTCCTCGGTAACCCAGTACAGCTGTTTAGGTTGTGTTAAGTATTCGAGGTCAAAATTGATTCAAGTAAAGTTTTCAAGGCTTTTGCTTATGAAATCCTCATCCGATTAGCTGCCCCGAGGTCTTCGAGGATGCTGGATTATATGCAAAAGAGAGATCTCGTTTTACATATACGTGCTTTTGGTTTGTTCGCGTGATTGAACACACAATACGAAGACTCAAGTCTTATGTATTAATTACAAGTTATTTTAATAGAGAATTAGCCAAATGCCTAGTGTTTCATTTAATTCAAATTTCAAAAAGAAACTTTGTAAAATGTCCTTCAATCAGTTTTCATCCACGATATTCTGACAAAATTTGCCTTTATTGTATTGCATTTTACAGTAATTATTTCTATTATGGTAATGCCCTCAAGGCATCAGTTGACGTTGCGTGAAGCATCAACAATCGAACCTGGTTGAGAATATAGCGATCTTTTACTGCTTATGATTCGATAGGTGACAAACTCTGAGTACTTTACTGCATAGTTCCAGTGGCTAAAAAGCTGTCGAAAGATCACAAACCCCAAAATACAATCAATATTAATTACTGAGCAACAAGAATTACGCGCCAAAAACACATGTGTCACGCGCTTTGCTACAAATCGCTGACTGAACCAATCACATGCAACTTTGAGGAACGAGATGAATATTCAAAGCGACAGCGAAGAGAGGGAAACATGGTGGTTCATCGGTGGAGAGGAAAATTCTGCCTTCCCTTTTAATTGTTTTCATTTAGTGGCGTGAAGTTTCTTTACCTTATAACCTGCCTTGATTTAACAAGGTACCGATGTCACACACATTCAAGTATAACGCTTGATAAAGCGTCTATGGCGACTAACGTAAGCGCTGTTTATAATTTTATTTGCATGTGGAAATTTCTGGTCTTCTGATGTGATGCTGAAGCCAAGATTTGGTCGGGTTCCAAGTACTTGCACAGGCAATTTGTAAAAACAGATGAAGAGGTTGTGGCCAGCAGTAACCGTACGTTATGTCTAGGCCCACGACACCGATTCATGGCAGGCCGAGGTCTCGTTCCGGAACTCGAAGCCCGGCGAATGTTGCTGACAGGGCCGTGTGTAAAATTGCTGGTAAGGGCGCTATTAATGCGTTAATTTTATAAACCTTATTAGTTTTTCATTTTGAGAGATTACTCACTTTATTAGTTACATTACTGTTTGCCTTTTTTTCTTGCTTACGACCTGACAACTGGGAAAATGGTACTTCATTGAGGTTTGGCAAATTATCCTTCTGCTGTAGTACGCTTCTTTTAGCTTCAGGCAGCTTTACGTGCTGACTTTCCTTTAATTCTTCAAAGTCCTGAACTTAACATGATAATTAGCGACTCATAAATGCATATGTTCGATAATATGTTCTTTCAGATGCTAAAGTAAATTTCGTTATATTAAAAGATATGTCTCGAAGGTTTACTTTACGATCTCAGATTAGTTTTTTTTTCTCTCGAGAGCACCACCACTTAGAGTTACAAAGTAGACGGTTCCTTTTAGACTGTGATTGCTTTGCGACTCTATCTTCTTTGGCAGTCGCAATTTGTTTGTTTTTGTGTTTTTTGGTAAAGTTGCCCGGTACAGTCAACGACAAAAATAAACTCGCGAATTCACCCGGGTTTAGCGAAAAGTAAGGTTATGTTAAACCAAACTACGTCTGGAAGGCACTGCCGTCGACGACCGTTCCATTTGGTTGGGTATTGCATAAAATTAGTAAATTATTGGACTGTTAGATGCAGCAACAAATGAGGTCGCATATAGCACTTAGTCTGTCGTTCTACCCCCACACCCCGAACTGCTCATATTTCTTTCGAACGCTGCTGTTTGGTATATCGCATGCTCGGATTGGCATGTTGTCTGTCACAGAACGCTCGCTCATCATGCAAAGCTGAGACGAGTGTGGGCCAGTTGTATAAAAGTTCGGACTTTAATTTGGATATTTCCGAAGGGCGAAATTTAACGTCATTTGCATAGAAATTGTCATCGTCTGGGAGTGCTATAAAGAAAGTTTTCGCACATTTTGTTGGTCCGATCAGACTTGGCCAATCCTGTTGATAAATCCAGGACGATGATTATAAAGAGGGAAAAATAATTTGATTTAATGGGTGGCGGATAGCTGATCACACATGGAACTTTAATAACTCGATTCACTTGTCTTTTGAGTAATCAAATCAGCCTTGATCATTGATTTCGAGAGCAAAATATAAAAATGGCGGACAATGAGTGCGGAGAGGTTACAGAGGAAGAAGACGTTTACGAGCTAATGATCGAATTAAGGCGGAGCGAACCAGGTAATTACTCTACTCACCTTTGGAAGATCGTTCGCTGTTCTAGGTTTTTCGCTCACGTAGCCATGTGGTTATTTGACATGTTAAATTGTTAGTATTGTGGTTTTAATAATATGATAAGCTAACGTACAATAGTAGAAAAGCAAATTCTCTTGAACTGTCAGGGCTTGAATGTCAATATTGTACGGTAGGAAATGAATTTTTATGTTTCTTGTGAGTCAATCGGAGTCTTAAACGTAGTCATTCTTTGGCTCACTTCACGAGAAATGAGAAAACTTTGTTCACTGAATAGTGATTGTTTGAATGATATCGTTTTTCAGATCACAGAGATGCAGTACAGAAGAAAACATTTACAAAATGGATCAACAACCATCTTCAGAAGGTACTCTCTTGTCAATTTCATATGTCATTTAATAATAGGAAAACAAGATAACTTTCAGTTTACAGTGACTAATATTTTAGAAAAGGTGCACAAAGGTATCTAGTAGGGCAAACCTGCCGAAGTAAGTGTTTTTAACGTTTTCTGATTCAGGTTTGAAATTAACTTAATTTAATTTGACACTCATTGTGTTAAAGATACTTGAACTGTTAATGTGCATAATTAAACATCCACATTCCTCGAAAGGTTGTGAGAAATGACTGACTTAAGAACTGTATTTAAATTTCTAATATTAAAAATGCCCAAAGGTTTTGTTATTACTGGTACAATAATTATGTCATTTGTTGCTAGTAGTGTCCAAACCTTTTTTTTGTAACACCAATAAACAGGTTGATTCCACAGGAAAAAATTGTGAGAGTTATGGTGTTTCAGAGCAAAACAAGGGTTCCCTTTTGACAAGATTTTGCTTCGGTTATGAAGACTATGATTTCTTTACTGTTATGTTCAAATCTCTTATTTTTACTGTGTTGAATACATTTTTAGACTTTTTACTGGGCTGATTTTTGGTCCTTAAATGGGATGACAGTGCAATCTTTCCTTCCTTGTTTTTTTTATTTTAAGAATGGCTACCTGTAAGGATCGAGAATCGGTGGTCAGCGAACCATTTGGCGAATCCCTGATATTTTTGCCAAAGATACCCTTAGGTAGACTATTTTCAAAGATCATATTCAAAATTTTCAGGGATTTTTTTTATTTCTGAAATGTGCAAAAAATTAAAACTGCGGTCAAGGTGCAGTTTTTGATTGATCAAATGTCCAAAATAAGGTGCGAGGACAAAGTTTCGTCGCAGTCTTAAAAAAGAAATCATCTGACCCCAAAAGAAACACAACTTCAAAACAATCATTCCTCTATGCAACCAATGTTTCAAACTTTCCAAATATGACAATACTTTGATTTTTCAGTCCATTTTGAAAACCCCTTCAATTCAGGGACCGCTTTTAATGGCTGCAAAATGTAGCTAATGTTAATCACAATGAAAATGCTCTTGGTACCCCAGTTTATAACTATTTACATCCTAGTGCTAAAATATAAATCTTCAAAATCTACCATGTGAAGTTTCAAGGTCTAACTCACAATGCTTCCTTTGATACACATTTAGCTGATTGTACACTAGTCTTTCAAGGATTTTAGCAAACGGAGGGAGGACAGCATTTGGATGGTAATTCCCAGGGTCTGTCACTGCACCAGTCTTAAAGACTGGTGTAACCTTTGAGATCTTGAAAATATGCGGGACAATACCTGATTCAATTGATTCATTAACTAAGTTTGTGAAGGGAGTGGAAAGCAGATTGCAGGCAATCTTGATTAGATAGTTAGGGATATCTATAGTGGCTTTGTGGCTATCAAGGCCAGATAGTGCTAACTCAACTTGCGCTGAATCCACTGGGGAATGAAAAAAACTAGAACTATGATTTGCTGGGAGGAAAGCATCATGTTTGGTACTTGAGTGAGAACAGGGACACCATTTGTACAGTACCAAAAAATTATCTGTACATAAGATAATTGCAAGTGCCAAAGGGAACCTCTAAGACTGTCCTCCAAGTGGATAGCCGGAAATCCGAGTACATTTAAAAATCACTTTTGTCACGTATGTACTAATCTGCTGGATAATGGTAACATTTTTATGGCTAAGCCATTGATACATTGGTTGGCAAGAATCATGTGGCTGAGTAGGCAATTACGTTTTGAGGTAATTGCTAGCTTTTTATGAAATACAAAGGGATGCTCATGAGAAAGGAAGACGCGCGCAAGATAAAGAGACTGTTTTTATCGTTGACACCTGGGCGATGAAGTTTCTGGTTTGAAGTTACCGAGTGTCCTAAAAGGATTGGGATATCATGGCAATATCGGTGGTGTATAGACGGAAGCAGGAAGAACTGCAATAGTAAGCCCTCTGCAACCATATCACTGCAACTGTAATCTGTTTTAAAAACAAGTTGAAAACTCATCTTTTTAGGAAAGCTTTTTTATTTTAGTAAACATTATGGTGAACTCAAGTAGATGGGGATTTTGATTTTATCTTCTGTTTGTAAATCATTGTAAGGCGCATTGAGCTTTGTAAATGCGCCATATAAGAATGTATTTATTATTGTTATTATTAACCACGCAATTCACTGAGCCCCGTATCCAAAGCAGTTCAGCTGTGTATCCATGCTCTGTTAGTGTTTTTTCAAAGGGTATCCGCTTGAAAGAAACATCTCCAACGTTTAAACAAAGTTTATAATCCACCACGATGTATTTGATAAAGGATTTAGCAAGGTAGGGTTACAAGGCCTATTTGGAGGAAATTGTTCGCATATTGCCTTCATTCAAAGTCCAGGCTATCAGGAAGTTCACTCTGTTTTAAAAGAGGGATGGGATCGCAGAGCAATAAAGAAAGCTTGTTTATTCAGTGTAAAGCAAAAGAGCTACCTACTGGCTAAATTTTGTAATGGTCAAACAACGTTCCACAAGCTTGATGCTGAGCCGCGTGTTGCGAGGGAAATGTGACTTGCGCATCCACACCAATAAAGCATCAGAATTTCACGCCACCACATGGCAGGCTATCTTCCTTTAAGTCAAAGTGCTAGAGCGTGCCAGAGGGATCAGAAGATCAGTAGAAAGGCTCCATACTTGTAGACTGCTTGCAGTCTGCCTTTTCTCTTAGATCTGTTGAGTTCCTAGACAATATTGAGTGCTTGGGGACAAAAAATGCTTTTAGTCAACTAAAGGACTGGGTCTTATTTTATTGATGGTTCTATGTGTTTTAGAAAAACGCTAGTTTGAACAAAAACTTATTACAATTCTTACCCAAGAGAATTCTAAATCACGATTCTAAATGGAGAGCATCTCTTGTTTAAGATCAGCGCATCAAACGTAACTGAGATTGCATTACATAATACTGGTCTTGAATATCATAACACAGTACACAATGCACGAATTTATACTGTAATAATGTCCTTTGGTTCAAATTGTTCAGACTATTATCAAGACAGTTTGGAACTGTCAAAACTAATGTGAATTCTGACTGAAGTGGGCAACAGCTTTGGGGGAATGTTACACTTGTGCCTGTGTAGTTACCGCAATTGGTGCTTTGCAAATTGGTGCTTTGTAAGTTGTAGTAAAGTATATAAGCTAATATAAGGTTGTATATACTACTCAGTGCATCTGTGGGCTTCAGTTTATTGTTTCAGAGTTTAATTGGTTTGTCTAAAGAAAAATTTATGCTTTGAAAAAAAAATATGACTGAGTTATTCATAAAAGTAATGTTTGCGACTTTGTCAAGTGCCTTTTTTGAGAAGTACTCGTGATAATTTTTATAAGTTTAATTTTTCAATTTTCAATATACTTTAATTAGAAAATGTATGTCAGGCAAAAGATTAAATTATTGTTCCAGAAACTACCTTCTTGTAATCTTTACGGCTATTTAATTAAAAAAGCTTTTAGGAAAGCTTAGAGTTTAGAAAATCGTCCTAGAAATCAGTTGGGCTAATTTGAAGCCTTTGTTGATGTAATAACTCAGCGAACCACATGTTCAAGCAGTTACTGAACAGACATTTTAATCTCTATCAAGTGTCCCGAAGGTACAAGCGAAACTGAATATATAATAAGTCTAGCAGCAAGTGCAAGTGAAATTCAACACAGGGCGTGAAAATTACAATATTATAACACCCTCCCTTTTATAGAGAAATAAGAAAACAACTTAACAGGAAAAAAAAAAGTGAAACCAAAACAAACGACTAAGCACATCTTAATGCAATTCAGTTCTTTGGAAAGAGTTCTTAGGCTTAAGTAAGCACATAGTCCTGTAGACGCTTGGGCGGCTGACGGACGCGCGTGGACCTTCTCGTTGCCTGTAAAGGATTGGGCGACTTAGGTGCGTCCGGCACCGAAGACAACGGATCGCGCGGCTGGTCAAATGTTTCCACTTGTGTATCTGGAGGTGCCTGTTCATGTGTATCTTCGCGTGTCTGTGTGGGTGACTGCTCGCGCGCCTCTATGACGTCGTCATCTTCAACTTTGATAGGCGCTTCATTGGACTTGCGTAGCTCAACACGATTTCGTCGAAGGAGTCCTTGAGGCAGCTCAACCTCGTAAGATCTTTTGTCGATGCGACTCTTTACGACACCCTTTTGCCACTCTTTT